ACACCAGTGCTTTCCATTTTTAGCTTTTGCTAAAAGACACGGAGGGTATATTTGCATCTGAGGGTCGTGATGGTGAGTGGTACCCTTCAGATGCGGCCCAGATCCCCTTGGGTTTAGGCATGTGCATGGTCCTCTCGACCCAACTGCATAGCTGAGCAAGCTCGGTTTCTAGCTACCACTCCTGTCAGGATTGTATCTTGCAGACCAGTGTGTGTTAAATCCGTGCACAAACCCTCTTCTAGAGGGCTGTGGGGAAGCAACAGCAGTTCAGTGCTCCCATTGATAACTCTGTGACTGCTACATGGCCTCCAGCTGAAATAATTGTCAAGCTCATGGTTTGAGCAGGCAATAACTAATAGTAAATAATGACCCTTTTGTTGGTCATCATGCAGAGCCATCAATAGCAAACGCACGTTTACAATGCAGCTTTAGGGAAAGCAAGACTGTCTTGAGTCAATGTTTCTGTCTTTCTGCTCTTGGGGCTGTTTGTGAGTTGGCACAACTCTTGTCTGTGACGGGTATCTCACAGCAGTGACCCCAGGGCCCTGCTTCATGCTGTGTTCGCCCAGGGTGTGGGAGAGCTGGTGGCAAGGAGTGACAGTCTGGGGGCCAAGAGTGAGTTTTATCTCAGAGATCTCCCCATGTGAGGAGACATGGGAGGTATGTGGAGAGCCCCAGGAGCTGGTTTGTGACTGTTAAACACAATTTACTCCTTCACCATCAGGGTATCCTGCTTAGCCAGGCCCAGTGTCCTCTGCCAAGTGGCCACTGGTGACTCCTGGGTGCAGCCAGCACCGGTGGAGTCTCCTCTCCCTGCAGCTCCGCAGGCAGATGATACCTGTCCAGGGCCATGCCAGGCGGGTGGGAATGGCTTTTCTCTTCTCTTTGTGTTCAGTGCCTCGTGTCCTGTTACAGCACCGAAGCCCTGTCTTGGGTTACTGGGGGTGTGCAGTGTCAAATGATCGCGCCTTGCTGGCTGCCGCTGTTCAGTGCCATGTCTCTTCAGCCTAACTCATGCTACAGGCAGTTTCTCTTGCTCCAAAATCCCTTTTCCAGCTCTGTACAAGTTTTGTTTTTTCCCAGAAATGAATATATCGAGGATGGGGTAGGCAGGTCGGAGCCAACTGTCTGGGTCTCAGAGGTTTGGATGGGAGACGAGTGCTGCCCTCCTGGTGTCTTGCACCTCTGCGGTGCACCTCCATGTCGCACCCCTCTGCTCTGTGGCCCTGCTGGGGGGCCAGCCTGGTTTTGGATCTGCTGGGCACTTCTGTGCCCCAGCACTTGAAGTGAGAGGCAAAGACACCCAAGGAGTTGGCCAGGGATGCTGGAAAGCGGCTGAGCACTGCAGGGACAGACACGGTAGCCAAACAAAAACGGGCTGCTCTGAATGCTGCCACAGAGCCATCTCCTTCTTACAGCCCCATGAGAAATCCCCTATAATCATTAATCTGCCCTCAGCTCTATGCAGCTTCTCATGGTTACACTGCCTAATCTGTCACGAGAGCGCTGTCTGACCAACCATGAAAGCAGCTTAGATGAACGCCTGCCTAAGTCCACCTGGGTGTCACCACAGAAGCGGGTGGCAGAAGCCTGCTGTGGAAAGCACTATGCAGAAACACTTCCTTCCAGCCCTTCCCTTGGCTTCTGCCAGAGCCACACTGTTTTCCCCACCACGGCCTTTCATCTAGATGCCAGTAAGCGGAGAAGCAGTTTAATTTATTTATGGTATGCATTAACATTTATTCAGCTGGTTCCTGTGCATTGAGTAAGGTGGCAACTTGATAGGTGCCAGCCATTCCCCCTGCTGCCAGCAGAGCCAGGGCTTACACTGTGCAGGCAGCCACAGACTCTTCCAGAATGTGGAGCTGAGCAAATGTGATGCCCTTTTGCTAAGGCGAAAGGAAAGGATGCGTATCCTGCTCCCACAACAATCAGGAAACTCCACCGAGGATAGCTGAGCACCTAGAAAGCGTATCCAACTCTGATCAGCTCTGGTAGGGGTAGAGCCAGGGGAAGATATCTAAGGGCTTTAAGCCACTTTTTTTGTAGAATTCCCTGATGACTTTGGTAGTCTGTCTGCATCCCTCTGTTCTCACCACAGTGAAGAAGACATGGTGGTGTGCTGTGTACTTCATGATCAGGGCAATTACAGGAGGCTAAGGGTGACACCAGAACAGCCACCTTCCCCGCCCATCACCAGCCACGAAGCTGCATCCTGTGTGGGCCTATGTGGCCCTGTGAGTTTCACACTATGTCCTTGAACTCCCTAGAGCAGATCCCCCACCTCTGTCTTCCAGTTGGCTTTCTGTGCACAGCCTGGAGCTGCTGGTCTGCTTCCCCCTCACGACGATGCTTTTAAATATCAGTCTCCAGGGTCTCACCTGAGGTGGCTTTAATACTGCCAGTAAGTCCCTGTTGATACTGGGGACACCTTGGCCCTCAGATAGCAGTTGTGTCCCTGCAGTTGGCACTCTTGTCATGTTAGGCCAGTAATGAAAGCTCAGCCTGGGTTAGCATTTAGAGCCCAAGTACCCAAGCTAATGATTCAGTACATGCCCTCCTCTCCCACGCCTGCTTTGTGGTGAGAGGCACTCTGTTGTAGAAAAAACATCTTAAGAAAGCTAAAACCAAGGCCTCATTCACCTAGGAACAACATGTAGACATCTGTGTGCACTGGAACATCTGTGTACGTTACCTAGCAAGCTTTAAATGTGACATGTGTGCTCTGGATTTGGGAGCTGTTGCAGTCATTTCTTTGGAGGCCTGGCAGCGTGCACAGGCCGAGGGTCCAGCCTGATTACACTGGACAAGAGTGGAAATATAAAAAGTCTGGTAAGCTCCGAATGTCCCTTAGCAGCATCATAAACACATAATCAAGGCCAGTTCGGCTTGATGTGATTTGTTTCATTATGAAATGTAATTCTCTCTGGAATTTTAGTTCTTGCCTGCCCTCCACCCCTAAATGTGCCAGCTCATAGCAGGAATTGGTGTTAGGGGAAGGAGGATCCGAGTGCGAAGGGGACCCAGACATTTAAGTATTGGTTTAACACATGCCGAGTGCCCTTTGATAAAGGCATGCTGAATTAGCAGGGCAGGTTTCAAGTTCTGCCAGGCAAAAACCCTGTGGATGTACTCGTGCAGTGCTGGGCTGAGCTGGCCAACAGCCACTGATTTATGCAGTAAATTACTGCAGAGCTCCTACTGCACTTCAGAGGTAGCAGCTGAAATAATGGGCAGCTGATACATTCCTCTTGAGGATTTGGCCCATGGACTTACCGTCCTTATTTAAGATTTGCTGGAATTTGGTCAGAGAGGTCCCATCCCTAGTGAAATTTGCTTTTGAGGTGTGTCCATGCAAAAAAATTTAAAAGATGTAACTCAGTTTACTTACTTGGTAAGGCAGTTTGTCAGCCTTTCCCTTTGCTAGCATCTGCGGTGGAGGCGTTGCAGGGTGGTCCCTGCTCGCCATGCCGAGGCACCGAGTCAGCCTTGTGCTCGGAGTTAGATCCCTCCCTGAAACCCTGACAATCCGGAGCCCTGGGCTGCCTCCACCCATGGGTGCTAACCCAAACATGTGCCATGTTTCCAATGCAGTTGTCAGCTGTCGATTTCATTTTTACACACCTCTGCATGGCGCTCTGTTTACCTTGCAGCTATAATCTTTCCGCTCCTGATCAGATCTGCAGGAGCTTTCAGTGAACAGCAAAAGAAATGATGCCGTTAGAGGTAGGAGGAGCTTGTCTAAACTAGCAGTCTTGTGTGCAAAGTGGAGCAGCACCCAAACATTTCCACGCCTCATCCTCTTGCTTTTTTCTAGGCTTATCATGTGTTCTTTCATCTCCAGACAAGTGATTGACACAGTTCAAACCCCCACTTGGCACCTGTCCATCATGCAGCATCCAGGCCACAGATTGCCCCGGCCAGTAACACCAAATTTCTGTTCTACCTTTATTCTCATGTTTCACTTCTTTGGAGCTAAGTTAACAATGACTTTGTTTAACACTTCATCCACTAAGTACAGCCCCAGCCTTCCCATCAGTGTCCACTTCTCGCCAGGCAAGATAGGTCACTTGTGGGACAGTGCTCCAGGCCATTCCACACTGATAAACCTCCAGGGAAAATTGTCCAGCAACCAAAATCACTTCCCAGGTACAAATGCAGCCACCCTCACCTCGTAGCTGCACAGGGAGATTTCTGATCAAATACAAGCTCTCCAATAAGGGGCACACACAATGTGTTCACACCCAATGAAAGCATCAACCAGGCAAATCCACATCTCTCAAATCGGAGAGTTTGCAGGCTTGCACTCCTGGAGAGCTCCTAGTGTTCCCCTAGACAAACCCCACCTTCTTATGCAGGGAGTGACTGAGGGAGGTGATTTCTCACACAACTTTCTGCTTGTTCTGCCTACCCCACAGGCCAAGTCTTCATCTAGGATACGTTAAGACAGCTGCTAAGATCAGGAATAACTGTTATTGATACCTAAATGTTCTCTACTGCTCTTCACCCAGTGACTCGCTGGCTCCTCTGGAGCTGGGGTCGTTTATAAACAAGCTACAGATCAGGCTCCACATAAGCACCCGTCCTGCCGATTCCCTCTGCTTCCAAAGAGCCAAAGGGCACTGGAGTTTTCATGGTTCACTGAGTAGTTAAAAGAGGATAATCATTAATCTGCTGAGGACAGTCTTTCTTTTGTTAGGCCTTTTATCAGGTTATCTTGCTAACATAACTGGAGAGGATCTGGGTGATGGGTGGGGGTGAAGGGAAGCAATGTTCTGTGTAGCTTGTCCTCACAAAATCACAGCTGTGCCCACCATGGGAGGTGGTGACACGGAGGTAAGGTGTATTTTTGCTGCCATGTCAGGCTAGCCTGTTGCATAGCTCTGGATTCACGTGGCTTTGATTGAGTCACAGCCTAAAACTCCCCAACAGCCACGTCCAGCTCTCCAGAGGTGCCTTTGCTATTGGAAACCTTAGATGTGTTTGTGGCTGTGACTTACCATACAGGTCCTTTGCGCTCAGCTTGGATGCTCCGTCCGCCCTGCCCATGCTGCCACTGTAAAAGAAAGAAGGTACAAATAAACCATCAGCTCCCAGATCTTTTTAATATCTGCTTTCACTCTGCAGCTCACACGATAATCAGCACAGCAGCCCTGCAGCTGTCCCGAGAGGTACCAGCCCTACCCTCCTCATCATGTCTGTCGGATGTAGTACAACTCCGAATTACCAGGCAAAGCATTTGTTTGTCTGACTGTGCCGGCAGCTCCCTCAGCAACCCTAGCTGTTATCCACGCCGCAGGCACATGTCACTAAACCCAGCAGCTGGAAACAGGAGACGGAGGAGCCCATCTAGGCCTGTCCCCACTAGAGTTACCTTCATGTGCAATGTCACCTGCAAGGCCGTTGCTTCTGGAGGGACTGTTTTAAGGACAGCGGCTCCCAGTGAGCAATAACGGGGTTGTTACAGGGAGCAGCACAGGTAAATGGAGACCCCTCCATGTTATACCTGAGTCCACCTGAACCTGAGGCAGTGTAAGTGCCAAGATTAAGATCCTTTATTAATGGACCCTTTTGAGATGTACTCCTTGAAGGCAGGTGCTCAGGTGTAGAAAGTGTCCTGTGTAAAAATGTGGAAGGACTTAATTGTGTGTAAACACTTGACTTTTGGGGTGTCAGGTGTCTAAGCATGCGTTACATCCCCTGTAGGGCCACCCCCATGCCTGGGTTGTGCATAGAAGTGTGCAGCCAGGAGATAGTGTTTTCTCCAGCTCAGGCCTGGCAGGGGAGGATCAAAGCAGGACCTCAGGGTTTCAGGCACTGTGGTCAGGCTGTCCTGCACAGTGCAGTGAGACAGTGGGTGGCTGGTGGCTCCTTTCTGCTCTGTCGCCATGTCCCCCTGGGGGCAGGTAGTGGTTCAAGGTGCTCATACATCTACACCCTGCTCTCCAGCGATCAGGAGCATGCAGGAGGGAGAGAGCTGGTGGCTCTGGCTCCATCAGGAAGCTGCCATGGGCTGCCGTAGCCCCCAAGCCACAGGTGAAGAGGCTCCTGGTGTCCCTCTCCTCTCTCTGTGCCTAACAGAGCACTAGCAAGCCACAGTGTGCAGGGCACGTGAGGTGTGAGGCAGCAATGTTGGCTATGGCCACAGCTTGTGAGGAGCCCAGAAAGGGTGAAACAAAACACTAGGGATTTGGGGGGCAAGTGGAACCGCTAGGAGCATTCCCCTGGGTGGCAGGAAGGAGTGGTGGTGCCAGCCACGAGATGGAGGAAGCCCACCACAGAGATCCTTACTTTGATGAGCCAGGGTTGCTGCTGAGGGATCCCTTGAGACTCATGTCGCTTCACAGGACAGGCAACTGCAGCAGAAGAGACAGGGTTAGTGATTAGAAAACATGCTATCAGATGATTTAGCTGTGGGCGTGCTGCCCTCCCTGCCTCTGATTTGGTGTCTCCAAGTAGCACGGTGGGTGGATGACATCAGTCAGGTGAGCACGAAGGGGTCTTCTGGCTGTTCTCTGCCCTGTGGCTCAGATACCTCTCACAGCTTTGACCTGGGCTGAAGGTGACACATCCCAGGATGCTTTTCTGAAACCTATTTCCACCTCTCTCGTCTTGCCCACCCCCTTGAGGCACACCCTGACTTTGTGGTACTTCAGCACATCTTTTTCTAGCAAAGCAGCCCTGCCTACACTTTTTCACAGGGACTGATGTGGCCTTTGCCTTTATGGTCTGTCAGAGGCCATTAACAAACTAACAGATCCCTGTGGCCATATGCTTATGACTGTAAGTGTCCTGAGTAATTTTTCATGCCCATAGTGCCATTATCTTTTGTTATGTGGCAATTTTAAGCTCTATACCGGCTGTCAAAGTATCCTTACCAGGGTATTGCCCACCTAGAGAAAAGTGAGATTATTGTGAATGCTGCTTCACTGGCAGCATAAGGATGGCGAAAAATTTGATGTGATGGCTGAGTGCTTGGTGAGAGGCAGGCAGACTCAGTTCACAGGTTTTTTTCCCTCCTCTTTCATATAAGAATTATAAATAACGTGAGAGAAGATGTGAGAGAGATCCAAGCACTGCTCTGAGAGCAGAAGTGCAAGGGCGGGGGGGGGAAGGGAAAGCAAGGTATAATAAAATCTCAGGGGATGCTTTGTATTGGCATTCAAGCTATTCACCTCTGCTGCAGTGCGTAAGTTGAAGGAAAGCCAAGACAAAGTCTTCAAGGTTTTTTTAATTCACTTTTGAAAAGCTCAGGGGGCACCCACCTGTGCGCTGGGCACTCAGTGCCTCTTTTTTACTTTGCCTGGGTCAGACCCCGCTCACCTCATTATAAGGCTGTTAGAATTCAAAGGTATGGCTTTCAAACCCTCGTCGTTGGCCTGAAGGAAGAAATTAATCAGTGTCTTCAGTGGGACTTCCTGCGAGGGGACCTTTGAACATGCTTGGCGTGTGCCGTGGGGCTGCCGTGACAGCCAGCCCTGGCAGGCAGAGGAGCTACCTCGCTAAGGTTTTTCTTAGCTGAGCTTAGGCTAAATTGTTTGTAATCCCTGAGGAATACTTTGGAATCATCCCTGGCAACTGGGATTTCCCCTCTTGAGGCTGACTATCTCTGCTGCAGGGCTTGTTGCATCGTCAGCACAGCTGCCCTAGATTCCTTATGTATCCATTTTTATTCCTAGTGTTGGAAAGGCTCATTTCTGGTATTTTGCTCTGTGTGTTTCACCCTGAGGTGAGGGCAGATACAGAGTTTTCTCACTGATCTTAACAAAACTGCCCGTCTGTCACGGATATATTTTGCGGAGATGCAGCTCTCCAGATGAAGCACATGGCTTGTGTGCATGCTGCATGGCTGCATACTGCTAACAGCATTGCACAGTCACATGCACATACTTCTTAGCTGAGTTTAGGCTAAATTGTTTGTAATCCCTGGGGAATACCTTGGAGTGCACATACAGACTGTATGGAGGACCCTGGCATGTTTTGGGCTCAGCCTTAAGACTTTCAGCCTGCTTTGTGTCACAGTAATATTCCTCAGCACTGAGACACTGTTAGAAATTACTTTGAAGTGCATTTTGTAGCTAGTATATTAAGTTCTCCCTTTTTTGTTTCTCTTGTGGTTGATACTAAAGTCCACCCAGACACACACATGCAGATACAAATTCATACACATGTTAGAATAGAAACTTGGTGTTCTGCCAACCCCTCTGAGTGTAATAAAACCTGTCCCTGTGCCCAGGCTTAGGTACCTGTGAATTTTTCCTCTGTTAATAGCTGTCTGCTGGTTTCCTTTTACAGTCCTCAAACTGTTCCTATCTCCCAGATCTCTGTGTGCATTAGCATAAGTTACTTAGAAAAGGGAACGTGCTCTAATAAACCCAGCTCTGGTCTGTTTACTTTACACCATCCAATCACTTTAGTCCTGTGGCTGATGATCATAGCTGGGAATGTTTCTGCATATTAATGAAATATGTTTGGCTCCCTTTCACTTACTGTCCCAGTGCCATGTACTTAATGAACTAAAATCCAGCTTACTGCAGCGGGTAAGTGGCACCACGTTTGGCCCGTGGAGTTCAGAACTTGCTCCCAGGCCACTGCCATGAAACAGCAAGAGGAACCAGGGATGCAGCCAAGGTCACCCTAGTTTTTGTTTATCCTTCACAAGCTCCGTCCGAAAGACAAACTCGGGGGGATCTGCGCCTGCTTTTAGAGGAACCCATCTCATCAAACCCTACGTGGCTGCCAGAGCAGCAGACCCTGTGACAATGGCAGAGGTCGCTGCTCAGCTTTGTGGGTGAAGCGGGACCAGCCACAAGATAACCCAATTCTTTATCTGGTGGTAGTTATTAAGAAAGTACTGACGGGATAAGCTGGGCTCCCTAGAGCAAGGCAGGGTAACCTATCGTGTACCTTGGCTAGTGTAAATGCCACTGGACCTCCACAGGTGTCAGAATGACCTGCCAACGCGCTGCTTGAAGTGTGCGGTGGGAACACCCACCACCCGTTAAACAGCAGAAAGGTTTTGTGCTGCTTGCACTCCCATTTACACCCTAACGCTCCAGAAGTCTTCCACTCGGCCAAGCAGAAGCTGTAATGCATTAGCACTGCTGACATTTCAGCGAAGGACTGATTATGTATTGCTTCTTCTGACATGTCTGGTCAAGTGATCCCTGGCCCGTCTTGGCGTTTGTAATGCAGTAAACCCCAGCATCCGTCCTCCCCTTGCCCAGCACCACTGTAAGGTTGTCCTCGCTTCCAGGGCGCCTGCATCCGAAAGAGGATGTGAAACTGGAAGCAATGTGAGTGCCCGCCAAGTCAGCAGGTCCTTATCCTTCTAGGCTGCCTTCTTTTTATTTATTCATGCTATTTTCATTATTTAACCTTTGCCTAGTTCTTACTGCTGCTTTAAGGGCCATGTCTGTGTTCAGACTTGTGTTAATCGAAATGAGGGTGTGGTGTGATGCTGGCCAAATTAAACCAGGACAGCCTTGTGCCAGAGCTTTTAATTCAGTTTAACTTGCCTGATATTAATTAAATCCTAGCTGTCAGACTGGGGGGGCACGTTTCTGAGAGGTTAGAGACTTTATGATTTTGCTAAATCGAGAGACAATTGGCCTTGAATAAGATGAAGAAAGGGCTGAGAGTACTTCAACTTTAAACGTGGAGAGAGCCAACGATGAGACTCGAGAGACAAGATGCGGTTATGGCCAAGCGGCTGGCTTTCCCCAGGTTTCCCCCTCCCCGCGGGGACAATCCATAAGAGGTCTGACACTCTGCAACCTCTGACACACATGTTGTCTTCTCCCGCTGTCATTTCAGCTGTGACTCAGGCTTCCCTGACTAGAGGGTTCCTGATCTCCCTCTTATCTCCCTGCAGGGTGTGGCTGCGTTCTCCTCCTTCCCCAGTGGGGTGAGCATGCACAGGAAGGGAAGTGAGAGGCAAATTTAGCAGTGTGGTGTGTGGCTGTGCAGGGGTTGCCTTTGACTCAGCCTTATCAAATCCAGTTTTGAGACCGTGCATCTACTCTTTCAATGGCGCAGGGCAGTGTTGC